AGCTGCTGTTGTCACTTTGATCCCATACAGATAGTTATTAAAAGAACATAATGCTCAAGGCAGACATTTTTTTACTAGTTAAGATAAACTATAGTTTGGTTTTAAGAAGACTTCAGGGGATATTTTTGGTTTAAGGTTTAGAGATTATCTCAGGGCAATAGTTTCAGGGGTTCATACAGCCGCCATGGCTCCAGAAAGTCTGGAGTTCATGAGAATTTGAAATTCTGTTCTGCATTTCCTCCCTTTTGATCAAGATTCTTCCATGGGCTCTTTGATCAAAATGTTCAGTAATGGTAGCCAGGCACCATCTAGTTCTTCTGGTCTCATGGCAATTAGTATTACATTCCATATTCTCCTCCTATTCATGACTCTCTTTCTTCCTCTGTTATTTCAGGTGAATAGAGACCAATTGTTGTGCCTTGGATGGCTACTTGCAAGCTTTTAAGACCCCAAGCACTATGCATCGAAATAGGAGGTAGAACAGAAGCACTAAATATGTTATTAGGCCAATTAACTGGGATGTCTCCGGAAACCATGACCCTAAACCTCCAAACCAAGGAACCAAATCTCATGAGGTTTTTTGTACGTAAGCAGCTTCAGCGGTTACTTTTTATTGTTGTTGTTGTTGCTGTTGTAAATATATCCATCACACAACTTTTGCCAATTCAACTTTTTATAGGTGTACAACTTATTGACAGCAATTATAATAATTGGCTGTGTGGCTCTGGAGCTACTTTTCTATTTACTTAGATAAGAGATTCTCTAAACCATATTTATAACTCTTAGTTTAAACATTTCATTTGCCCTTCTGCCAGAGTCCTTTGATGACTGACTAAATAGAGTTTAAAAGTTTGAAGAACAGATACTTAGAAGTAATCGACAATTACGTGGTTTTATTCTTCTCAGTATACCATGTACATGCAGAATTAATACCAGAAGTTTCCACAGAAAAATGTAGGAATACTTATGTTGGAAATCCATAAAATGCAAATGATCAATAATTTCTTAATGAAGATGAATTTTAAGCTTGCAGATAAGAGTGTAAAGAATTATATATTTTATTTTCTCAACCATCTACTAATCTATAAGGATACATAACATGTAGAACATCTTAAGGGTACTGTAAGGAAAAATTCTTTTAGGTATTACCAATTTTATATTTCAAAGCTATGGAATCTTAATATAGGAAAATCAATTTTTTTTTCAAAGTTTTCAAATTTATTGGCATGAAGTTGTTTATATCATTCTCTTTTTATTTTTAAAATCTCAATTGTGTAAATAATTATTTCCTTTTTTTATTCCTAATATTTCACATTTGTGCCTTTGCTATTTTTTCTTGATCAATCAGGCTAGCACTTTGTCAGATTTTTGGTCAAAGTACCAACTTTTGGTACTGTTGATTATAAGAAAATGAATTCTAAGTCCCTATTTGGTCATGATGAATTTGGATTTAAAAAATTTATTTTTGTATTTACCATTATATTACAATATGATATTGCAATGCATAGTAGATGGAAAGACTAATATTATTCTTTTAATTTATTAAGTGAAAAAATATAATAAAATATATGTGTAACTAGCAAAGTCCTGAATTTGTGAATTAGTGGTATAATTACATTCAATAGTAAGGACTGCATGTTTGATTAGGCCTTCCACAGGGACTTGTATAAGGAACAGGCTAGAGCTGGCCACTATCATCAAATAAATGGTGCCCACTCTTTATAGGAAGTTAAAAGAAAAGTTGACACAATTTATCTGAGAATTATTTTCTCTATTTAGAAGGTTAGATTAGTTTCCTTTTGTCTTTTCCGACATAGGTTTTCTGGGATTTTAAAAAATGGATTTCTCCAATGAAAATAATTCCATAAGCAGATATTCTTTTATTTTTGTTCATCTGTGGCCTGAAAGACAAGTCTGGCACCATTATTCAGGACTCCCTTTAGCCATCTAAAAAAAAATCTCTGTCTATCCATCTATCCATCCATCATTTTTTTATCTTCTCTTCTGTGCTTGATTAATTAGTACTCATACTTGAAAGTGAAAGAAAAGAAAATAAGATCATAGAAAATGCATTTCTTTCATCATAATACTGACTAGGAAAAATAATGCTTCCTTTGAAATTCTACTCTGCAACAAATGGGGTCATCATTAGTCGGAATCCACTTGATGGCAATTGGTTTGTTTTTTTGGTTGAGCATTTATTAGCCTCTGTGCTTATATGTGCCATGGGGCAACTAGACTGGCAGCTTTGATTGAGCTGGGCTATTTAATTAAGTGAAACGCGTGGTTTGATACTAATTATCCTTCTGTGGTATCAAAGAAAGTCAATTTCCCCAGTGGCTGAGATCAGTGGTTCTTCACCTTTAGAGCACAAGGATAGATGGAGGATAGCCTTTCAGGGTAGATCAGAATCTTTGGTAAGAAGAATAGGGAAGGAAGTTTGAAAAAACATTTAAAAAAATTATCCTCAGTTTGCTTTTACTTATAATGTTAAATTTATTTTGAGATTTAGAATTACATTAAAGAAGAGGCATGAGATGTTTCTACCTATTAAGGGAGAAAGGATAAAAGTGTGAAACTGGGATGGAAAGAATTCTAGTGAAGAAAGTTTTCTTGTAACCTCTAGAGGAGGTATAATCAGGGCTCAACCTGTCCTTGAGTATATTATGATGGCAAAGATCATCATTACAGTCATTTGAATCCATTTCCTTCCTCATGTCTCCTTAATTGAAAATTCCATAAGAGATACCCAGAGTGGACCTAAGTGCAGAGCCTGAATCATGTATGGGTCAGAGCTGGGATGCAAACATGAAACTTACGAATACCTATTTTAGTTGTTTTTGTGGCTCTGGCGTTTTCTTAGTTTGCATTGGAGGCAACATCAGCCTTTTCAGACAGAATCATTTCAGAAGAATGAAAAAGACATGGATGGCCTCTAATGTGTGTGTGTATAAATACATGTTTCTTTTTTTTTTTTTAATTCATTACTTAAGGATAAAAACAAACTTGAAATTAGTAACATAATCAGAACTTAGCTCTTTGAGTATGTCTTATTTTCAAGCTAATTCATTGGTTTGGTTAAATTTTTGCAAATATTGAAAACTAAAATGTTCCAATTGGAAATTAAAGGTAAAAAAACATAGTAATGAATAATAGGTACAAATAGTTAAAACTCTTATCTAAAATTTGATAAAATGTTTTACATAACTTTAATGAATTGACAAGGTCTTATGGAGAAAACAGTTCCAGATGGCAAACATACACAAGGGATTCAGTCAAACAATTTTTTGGCAAGCATATTATGAATTTTGTAATCACTTGGGAACCAATGAAATAAAAGATGAGTCTAGTTAATAATCTACAATTATTGGTTAGAGAGGTATATTAGTGTGAATTTCCCTCTATTTGTCCTACCTTTTCTCTTCTATCAACTCCCACAAGTCTTTGGCATAATGAAGTGGGTAACCTTTATTTCCCTTCTCTTTCTCTTCAGCTCTGCTTATTCCAAGGGTGTGTTTCGTCGAGATACACGTAAGAATTTTACTTTTCTATTATTCAACTTTTATTTTATTTTCCTAATAAAGTTAAGTTTTAGTAAACCTCCATCTTTAAAGAATTAGGATTTCCTTTGGCACTTATTTGTAGACTGTGATGATATTTTACATTTGTGTACCTGTAAGAAGTTATTAATATATTTCTAACATTCTAGGTGAAAAAGTGAGGAGAATTATTTAACAATTGTAATTTTCTTTTGCACGTGCAGAAACTTTAGGCATTTAAGCTTAAACTCTACAGAATAAAGTTGGAGATAGAATTCATAACTCCAAATTCCCACTACACCATGCTTTATAAAAATCAAAACCTGTGTTGTTAATCTTATAAATAGAACTTGGATTTATATTTATTTTCAGTTCAGACGGTCCTCTCAGTAGCTGTTAACGGACGTTGTGAGGGCATTAGCGCTTATCCAAGTTTGAATATAAAACTACAGAAATTTAATGATTTTTCAAATAATATCATTGCTGGTTGAAAAATTATTGGGTTTAAATGCAGAACAAATAGTTCATCAGCATCCTGAGATTTTTCTGGAGGGATCAGAGCCCAATCAAATGGAGGGAAACATAAAAAGTGGCAACATAACCAGTTGTTTTATTCAGTGTTTAAACAAATCTTGTGTGTGTGTGTTATTTATTTATTATTTTTCCTTCTCCCCGCTAGACAAGAGTGAGATTGCTCATCGGTACAATGATTTGGGAGAAGATCTTTTCACAGGCCTGTAAGTTAAAATATTGAAGAGTCAAATTTTAATGTTGCTAATAGCATTGATTATAACTCTGAAGTTCTCATACATCCCTATCATCTGGGTCCACAATGATGGAAATATTCTATATCAGTGCTGTCAGTATGGCAGCCGTTGGCCACGTGGCTGTTTAGCACTTTAAATGTGTCAAGTGCAACAAAGGAACAAAAATTTAAATTTTACTTAATTTATATTTAAATAGTCATGTGTGGCTATTGGTACCGTATTGAACAGTGCAGCTTTGAAATTCTTCTATAAGCGGCATGACAGAAAGAACTTTAATACATGGTTCCTTTGGCAACTCAGTTACTAAACTTCCTTTGCATAGCAAATAATCCTGTGGTTTCTCAGGGAGCATTTTAACATTTTTTTTTAAAGCTAGTAAAAAATGAGAAACAGCTTATTTTTAAAGGTTGATGTCATCCTACAGTCTGATTGAATGAGATGTGTGTGGTTTTGTTGATTGTTTTAAATAATTCAAAGGGTCATTGTAAACCCCTAGTCTTGACAAGAAGACCTATTTAGGATACAATTTGCTTGCTTACTCTATGGCTGGGCATCTACTGATGTGCACGAACATACATTTAAACACGGTGTAAACACACATCCTCTTTACCTAGAAAGTCACGTATGCCTGGTTAGGCCTCAGATAATACCTGGTAGTGAGAAAGCAGTACAAAATATAGAATACATACAGAGAGATGATTTGCCCTCTAGCATAGCAATCTGCTTTATATTGAAGTTCTGCTATGGCACAAATGTGCTTTCTATGTCCTTGTTTCAGGTTGCTGATTTCCTTCTCTCAGTATCTCCAGAAGAGCCCATTTGAAGATCAAGAACAATCAGTGAAGGAAGTGACTGAGTTTGCAAAAACATGTGTTGCTGATGAGTCAGCTGAAAATTGTGACCATTCACTTGTAAGTACACTGATTTTGAAGATTTTTTTTTTTAAGTAATCCTGAGCTTTTAAACGGGACAATATCTTTTTATAGTTTTTTCAATCACTATTAAATGACTAGATTAAAAGAACATTTATAAGCAACACTCAAAAATGAGTATAGATTGCTAAGCCATTACTATTTCTATGATAAAGAGATGTTCTACCTATATCCACAGCTTTTAAAACATTTCTTTGTTGAGAAAAGAAACAAAAGTTGTGGTGTGTTTAAATGGAAATTTGTCATTTGTTAAAAATCTTTTTTTTTTTAAATTGATGTTTGGTTTCTTTTCATAGAGGCTTATACGATAGAAATGTGCGTATGGCTTTTACCTTGAGGAAGGCACTCAACTGATTTCTGTGCTAATTTTGTTGCCTGGGTGAAATAATAGTACAGCTATATATTCTTCAGTTTAGGGATAGTCATATTTTTATATACAATAAAAAAGCAAGGCACGTGATCATTTTGAGAACTTTGAACTTTTGGCATTTCCAAACAGGTCTTCAATACAAAGAGAGGTTTACATTTCTCTCACCACTCTATCTATGTATACACTTCTCCGGGAGCAAGAACCATTTCTCATTTATTATTGGGGCTCTTTCTTCTCTTATTTTTTCTCTTTATGTATCTCTCCCTCAAAGCAGAATCAGTACTTTAACATTATACAATGTTAGGGTTCTAAATAGGAATTTAAAAAAATTTTTTTTAAATTAATGAATCCGATCTAGAGTAGTATATTTTCTCAAGGGTTGCAACTACTTTCCTAATAAAGTTTAACAGGGAAAGAAAGGATTAATTTAATGAAATATACTTCAAAGCAAATATATCTACAATAAAAAAAATCCATATTTCAATGCAAGAACTTAATTAACAGGTTAGTAGGTTGTGTTACTCTTCAGTTTTGAATACACCCACTCTTCACTTATCGACAGGGTTAGGTTTCAAAGACCGGGTCGTGATGTGAAAATCGGGGTTATGCGAGAACGTGCTGGTTTTAGGCGCTGGTGTCTCCCCACCAAGTAGCTCACCGCCTGTTGGACACCCCCTGTGCGTCTTGGGATGGGCCTGGCGTGGTGGGCCCACCTTCCCCACCACGCCTTTCCCCACCACCGCAGAGGGTCCGGGGAGGCCTGGGGGTGGTGGTGATGCTCTGGTTTTCCAGCTGCTATCAGAGCAGCAAGAGCCCACGATCATCTGGCTGCGCACTAGGCCTTCGCGCAGACCCCCATTCCTCGCTTCTCCATCTTCCCAATTCCCCGGCCTGGAGACCGGCCTGGGCCTCAGCCGTGGGCGCCTCCCGGCCTGTGGGCAGGTGAGGTCCGGCCACCTGGGTCCCGCGGAGGTTGCAGAGGTGGCAGAGAACCCTCACCTGAGTAATACCAACCACCAGTGGCCTGCAAGGCTTCATTCCCTCTCACAAACGTTGCGCGCCTCCTCCTCTTCTTCTCTCCCCGCCCCTTGTTAATGCACAAAATAGATTTATTTCTATTTTATGTCGGATAACAAGACAGTCGATAAGTGAGGAGTAGGTGTAGTATGTACTAAATAGTAGCATCTCTCAAAGAGAAGCAGACCAAATGAGAAACTATCTGAATTGCTTTCTCTCTGTGAATTCACCTGCTACTTAGGTTATTTTCTTGGATGTTTATTATAATCGCTCTCCTAGCCTTTAGCCTCAGTTGGAAATAGAAGTAATGTAACATTCCTTAAAGCTTTTGACCAGTCTTTTTGCCCTTATGTTCTATCCACTACAGGCAATAGTTTGATAGTTGATTCTTATGAAAATGACACACACACACGATCAAATCAAAGGAAACTCTCTAAACTGAGGAGGTGGGGGGAGGTGTGGATTATTTATATGATTTCCTAATCAAACATCACCCAGTATATTTAAGTTTTTATACTGTGTTTTGGGTGCAAAGAAGATAAAGACCTGTCTTATATTTCTTTCATTCAGCATGCTATTTTTGAAGATAAATTATGTAGTAGAGTTAGAGCTCATAGTGACGTCTATGCTGAATTTGTTGAGTGTTGTGAGAAAAAAGAACCCGAGAGACACAACTGTTTCCTGCAACACAAAGATGATAACCCACCTGTCCCTCCATTTGTGAGAGGATCTGCTGATGATTTGTGCACTGCATTTCATGAAAATGAGAAGAGGTTTTTTGGAAAGTAAGTAATCAGATGTTTATGCTTTAAAATTAAACATTGTATAATAAACCTTTAGATCAATTCTCATTATAACAATTACCATAACAAAAAATATGTTCAACATAATGACTTGGAAGCTTTTGTTTTGAGGCCGATTTAAAAAGAAGTAGTAATTGTCGCTACAAAATTCTATACAACAAAAAATTGGACCAAAGATTTTTTGGGGTTCATTGAAACAGTATGAACTATATGAAAATATTTCAGATTGGCATTTATTAAAATATTATGAACACATATAGTTATTCACTGGGAGATTATTTTTTCTAAATGAATTTCTTCTATAATACTTAATTGTCTCTGGCAATAACTTTGATTTTTTTATTATTTTTATCATGAACAATAATAAGAAACCCTTATTATTAACATATTAATAAACTAAATAATAAGAATTTTTACTTAAAACTTGTGACTCAATTATAAATCCTTTGATTTTTTTATTATTGTTATCGTGAACAATAATAAGAAACCCTTATTTTTAACATAATAATAAACTAAATAATAAGAATTTTTACTTAAAACATTGTGACTCAATTACTAATCCTTGTTTTTTTTTTTTTTTTGCCTGCTCTTTGCTTTCATGCACCCTTCTAATATTGATTGGAAAAAATGATACCATTGTTGCAATAGGAAATTTTTTCCATATCTAGGGCTGTAACATTTCTCAACAACCCTAAAACTCAGGCAAAAAGGGAAGAAATGTTTCTTTTGTTCTATCACAATATATACCTCAGAAACTTGTGATTAGATTCCTCATAATTTATTTTCTGGGACCTGTTAAATTTCCTGAGTAATTCTATACAGGGTATTAATTCAGTTTAGAGTATATAGATTTGATAATAAGAAGTTGTTTCCATCTAAATTAAATTCAATAATTTTTCCTGAGTATCAAATCTTTCTTAAAGTACTGAAAGAAGAGAAGGGAAGACTTTTGAATCTGAAACTTAAATGGCAAATACAATAGTACTTTCCCTGTGTGCACTGCTAGAAGTAAAACCACAAAATGTATCAAAGACAATACTTGCCAACTTTCAAAAATACACTGAAGTTCATTTTACAAATAAGAGATTTTAACACAATAAATATTACATGCAAATATTAGCATTTAATATTTTATGATATGAGCATTCCAGAATGGCTCTAAACTTTCCCACCCTTAGTTCGATTACGCACCTTCAAATAGTACATGTATTTTTATGCAGCTAGAGCCTCCCCAAACCTCAGATGTTACTTTTATATTCAGTCTAATATGTTCTATTAATTCATCCAGCTATGTCTTGAGACAGGCAGTGTGCTCTGGCATACGAATGAGGAAACTGGAACGATTACATAATCTTAACGTATCAGTGTTATAATTGGGCATACAAATCTATTCTCTTAATATTGTTGGACTTACAGAATTTCAGAGTTGAAAGCGGCCTTGAAAATCAACTTGCTTATTCTCTTCATTTTGTGGATTAGGTAATTGAGACCCATAGAGAGAGACTGACTTTCTGTTAAGTCACACAGCTAGTTAATAGAGGATAAAAATCTGGTTACTCCCTGTTCTCTTTCTTTTACATCACACAATTAATCAAGAATAAAGACTACAGATTGGATTTAAGAGTAATAGTTTCCCAAATCTTGTGTAAATGGGGTTTTAGAATTAGGGGAAGGATGGTCTGATGACGGAGATCCATTTCTCTAGGTTGTTGTTGTTAGTTTGTGGTTGAGTCGATTCTGACCTTAGCCACCTCATGTGTGCAGAGTAGAACTGCTCCACTGGGTTTTCAAGGTTGTCATGTTTTGGAAACAAATCACCAGGCCTGTCTTCCAAGGTGCCTCTGGGTGGTTCAAACCACCAACATTTTGTTTAGTAGTCAAGCGCTTAACTGTTTGCACCACCAGTAATTTTAGTCAACAACATTATATGACCAAAATTTAACCATATTGTTGTGGGTAACTGTTATTCCTTCTTTTTCATTGACTTAAAGAATGACAAAGGTAAGGTCATCACATACAGATTGATCTTCACGGGTAAATTAGATGTTGTTCTTTGGGTTTTGGAGGATGTAAGGAGAGTGTTTGTTGATTACATTGATTTCTGTAATATCATCTACTAAAGAAAAATGACTCCCTGTTTTCCTTTTTAAAATTTTAGATATATATATGAAGTTGCCAGAAGACATCCCTACTTTTATGCCCCAGAACTCATTTACTATAGTTACAAGTATAGAGAGATATTGGCAGAATGCTGCGAAGCTGCCGATAAAGCTGCCTGCCTGACACCAAAGGTATTCCCCAGAAGAACAACAGAAGAATCACTTCATTATCAAGTTTCAGATTTTGACCATCTTATGGCTAGATTTAGGGAACCTTAGTCTCTGATATAAACTTCTCAGACATGGTCAAAAAGCCTCCCCCACTCCTTCCCCTCCTCCCGCCCCTGAAAAGATCTTTCACCTCCTTTTAAGGCCTCTGACTACCTCAGCCCTTCTAAGATTTGCCAGCGTTGATCTGGAAAGGGAATCACTACATATGCTTCTAAATACCTCACTCCTTTTTATAGTGAAATACAGAAACTTATTTGTCAAATTGCACAGCCAGGGAACATAAGTGTTCATCTTTTCATAAGCCCTTTTATTGGAGGAGGAACTCAGAGTGGAGAATTTTACCGCAGCTGGAAGCCTGGGTTCATTTTTTCATTGTACAAGCTGTGTTCTTTTTCTAGGGAGTTTCTTGATGTTAGGAGAGTTGATGGAGGAGGGATTAAAATGAATTATAGGCAACGTTAGGAAGTTAGCAAAGCTATCTTCCCCGGGACGTTGGGTAGTTTACTCTGTTTTTCCACTTTTCCTTTCCTTTATCTCTGCAATGCCTCCATGTCACTCCTCAAGTAACTAGAGGCTTCCACTATGGTCAGGCTGATTTTTCCTCTTCCTACATTGCAGGATCAATAGTTACCACTAGTGAGTACTTGGGAATTTAGGTATAAATTATCTCTTTAAAATTTAATTTGGCATAGGCTTCTCTGAGTTTGTGAAGGGATGTTTCACAGAGAATTTTCCTTTTCTAATTTTTCCAAAACTATTTCTTTTTGCAGATTAATTCTTTGAAGGAAAAAGTATTGACTGCATCTGCCAAAGAGAGATTAAGGTGCGTCAGTATCGAAAAATTCGGAGAGAGAGCTTTCAAAGCATGGTGAGTATTTTAATTTAGTTTGCATTTTTAGAACGATGAAAATAAATGGTTCAGTTGACAAAACTATACATTCGTATCACATTTTACACAGTGCTTTCTCATACAACCTTTTGGTTGTCTAAAAAGTAGAAATTTAACACAGGTGAAAGTCAGGACATTAATGACAATTTGTCATACTTTTTTATTTATCTTATTTTTTCTAAGTAGCCAAAGAGTTTAGAGGACACTATGTTTTTTTGTATTTCTTAAAAAGGAGACAGTTATTCAAGCTCCTATTTTATTAATAAATACTGGGGATCTCATTCTAATGGTCCATTATTTTTATAGAGTTGTAATCAGGGTTTTTTAAAAATTTAATTTTACCCTTTTCCCCAATGATCCGAAAGTGTCTGCCTGTCCTTTTGTGGTCCTGATAATTAAATTCAACCATTGACTAAGTCGAGGTTACTTTTCATTATCTCTCATAGCTTTAGTTCTGCCCTTAATATCTTATTTTTGCTGGGCCCTCTGTTTTGATATTACTTACCTGTTTCTGAGAGAAAATTCTAATCCTCTCAATCCCTTGTGTGTTAGTCAACAATGAATCAACAGGAACGGGAGATAAAAAGAAAATAACAGACATTATGCATGTTCTCTAGAAACCGTCAATTGAACTCCCTTTGCATGTCATCCCTACCATCCACACCAACAAAATTAATCAAATCAACAATCAAACAACCCCATCATGAAATGATACACAGTTAAACTATGATTGTTTTTTTGTGGGGGAAGGGGGGCTTTTTTTTCAGAATTAGGCAACTCTGAAATGATTTGGGAAGAATGATGATATTAGCCTTTTACATCGTGTCCTAGGGCTTACAGACTCTGCTGGATCAATTTTTTGGCAAAAGCATGTTCAATTTTTATTACTTTTTATTATTTAATTTAATTACTTTTATTACTCCCTAATTCTGTGAAAGTTATGATATTTCTTTTCTCAGAGACATTTTGAAAGTCTTAATTGACTAAAAAGAAAGAGAACTAGAGTTTATATGGTACTTTCCAGTTTATAAAATGCTTTAATATACATTATCTAATTTAATTCTCACACCAGTGCTGTTGTGACTACAGAGGCTGACTCTCAGAGAGGCTAAGTAACTTGTCTAGGGTCACACTGCTAATATGTGAGAAAGCCACGTCTGGAAATTAGATCTGGCCTCCGAACTGGCTGCTTCACAACATGTTGCCTCTTTTAGAATCCCTCTTTAATTTCTGCTTTTATAAATTGGTTACAGCCTTGAAAATCCTGTGGAGCAGTTCTACTCTGCACACATGGATTGCCATGAGTCAGAATTGACTTGACAGCAACTAACAACAAATAACAGACTTCTAGCCACTGCACTCGCTCTTACAATGGATAATTCTGCCCAAAGGAAAAAGGATAATTTGGTTCAGAACTAGCATTAAAATAAGAAATAATAAATAAAATTTTCTTTTTGCTTTAAAAAAAAGAAATAATTTTACAGATTATGTGTGTATGTTAGTTGCCTTGAGTTTCCTCATTACATAAATAGTATTTTCCTAGTGTTTTCATGTAAAATAATGCATGTTAATGATTCATTTGATGTGGGGATTTTGTTTTTAGGGGAGTAAGTCGCCTGAGCCAGAGATTTCCCAAGGCTGAATTCACAGAAATTTCTAAGATAGTAGCAGATCTTGCCAAAATCCACCAGGAGTGCTGCCACGGTGACCTGCTTGAATGTGCAGATGACAGGGTAAAGAACTGTCAATATGCTCTTTGGTAGTTTTACACATTTAAGTTGGTAGAATCCATTTAGTATCATGGTGACAGATGACAGTGCATTGAGATTGTGTTCTGTGCTCCTATCTGCTCTATCTCCAAGCTTTTCTTGTGTTGTGGTACCTTTTTTTTTTTTAAACCTGTTGTTGTTGTGTTCCATCAAATCAGTTCTAACTTGTAGCGATGCTATAGGACAGAGTAGAACTACCCCATAGGATTTCCAAGCGTATAAGTCTTTATGGAAGCAGACTGCCACATCTTTCTCCTGTGGAGTGGCTGGCGAGTTTGAATTGCTGACCTTTCGGTTAGCAGACAAGCACTTAACCACTCTGCCACCAGGACTCCTTTTTGTACCTACTTATCCTTTTTAGTCTCTGGGTGGTGCAAACAGTTAACACTCAGCTATTAACCGAAAGGTTGGAGGTTTGAGTCCACCCAGAGGCACCCTGGAAGAAAGGCCAGGTGGTCTACTTCTGAAAAATCAGTCATTGAAAACTCTATGGAGCATGGTTCTACTCTGACACGCATGGGGTTGCCATGAGTTGAAACTGACTCGAAGGCAACTGGTACTGTTATCCCACTCAGTAAATGACCTGATAGACTCATTTACTGATTGTAACCCCTTTCAGTCATATTTTAGCTGAGAAAAAAGGCTTAAACTGAAGGAGGACAGCTGTAAAGGTAGATTCCTATGGAGATTCTTTTGGTGAGTAGATGGTGTTGGAGAAGGATGAGTACCTAAAGAAACCTTTGGAAGCAATATATTTAGCTTTATATTCCCTCTCTTAATTAACTCTTTGTATTAAATATACAAATATTTGGCATAATATCACTTTTCCCTAAACTTCTGATATTTTCTCCATTTCTTCAAAGGTTAAGAATATGACCAAATGCCAGAGTCCTAATCTCTCATGACACTTTATTGGAAACTTAAGGCATATACAATATTTTATGTTGTAAGCAGGACCTATGACTATGGGCTTCACTAACTTTTCACAAATCTCTCAGACTTTTTTTAGTTATTTGATTTCAAATGTCTACATTCCATTTTGGGGGACTATTTAGAAAAACAACACTGAGTTTTAATGAAAACAAAATTTAATTCCTTTACAGTATCAATCTAAAATTAATAATTAACTAATATGAACACCTGTTACTGACTTGTCTTTTTTAATCAAGTGGGAATGTTTGAATGGTTCTACCTGAATCTCCAGTGTTAGGATCAGACTGAGAATAGGTTCATAGAAGGCACACTGGTATGTACAGTATATAGTCTTAGAATACGATGATTGTATTGTGCCAATATGTTACAATCTGAAGAGAACAAAACCAAACCAAACTCTTTGCCAGCGAGTTGATGCTGACTCATATAGACCCTGTAGGACAGAGTAGAAGTGCTCCATGGGCTTTCCAAGGCTGTAATCTTTATGGAAGCAGACTGCCATATCTTTCTCCCGAAGAGCGGCTGGTGAGTTTGAAACACTGACCTTTTGGTTAGCAGCCAAGTACTTTAACCACAGCACCATCAGGGCTCCTCGTCTGAAGAGAATGTATAGAAATGTCAACTTACATTGAACAGTTTTCATCAACTTGCTTATAGGCGGATCTGGCCAAGTATATATGTGACAACCAAGACTCACTCTCCAGTAAACTGAAGGGATGCTGTGATAAGCCTGTGCTTGAAAAATCCCACTGCATTCTTGAAGTGGAAAAAGACGATGTGCCTGCTGGCCTGCCCCCAATAGCTGAGACTTATGTTGAGGACAAGGATGTTTGCAAAAACTATCATGAGGCAAAAGATATCTTTCTGGGCACGTAAGTTGATAAGCAATGATCTTTCATAGCTTTTATATGGCCTCACACTTCAGGAAGATGTGATAGGTTTCCTTTTGGAGTTGCTACAGTTTTCACGTTATCCAGAATGTTTCTTCATCCTTTTCCCGACCCAGGCTTTAAAAACTATTTTTCAAAAATTATCATAGTTTAAAAAATTATCATAAAATAATACATGCTCACAACAAAAGCTTAACCAATACAGAAGAGTATAAAATAATAAATAAAAGTTCCCCCATTTTATACTCCCTGCCCATTCCTTACTCCTTAGCGACATTTCTGGAAATAACTTTTCTAGAAACATTTTATGAATCTATAAATATATACATATTATTCATTCATTTGCTCATTCATTCAAAGGGTATTTCTTGAACACCTATAATGCATATATGTGAGTGTACATGTATATATGAACATATATGTAATGACAGGCAGCAAAGAAGTATAAAAAGAAGTACAAGACATGGAATCTGCCATCAGGTATTTTATACTTGGTTGAGAAAACCAGAAGTTCAGTGACAGGGCAAGGCAGCATGCAATTCAATACCAGAATAAAAGATTATACATAGGTGCTTTTTTGTTGTTGGATTATGATAGTATCCTATGCACTAAATAATATGTCAGACAATGATGCACTCTGTAAGATTTCACTTATCCAGATAGGAAAATGAAAAATGTAAGACTCTTCTCTCCCTGTCTTTCTGTCTCAAACATAAGTATCCAGAATTCAGTGAGTGGCATTAAGACTAAGTATTTAATTCAGAGTCTTTGTAAGGTGTAGTTCAAATCAAACAAAATATTTATAATAATAACAGGTATCATTCATCAAAAACTTAACTATGTGCCAGTGTTTGTTTTGCATAGATTATGTCATTTAATTCTCACAACAATCTACCTTATAGGTAGGTTGGTAGATCTACCAATAAGTAGATACTATTATTATCCTCATTCTACAGAGGAGACAACAAAGGCTCCAACAGTTTTAATAAGTTGCCTAATGTGACATAGTGAAATAATTAACAGAACCAGGATTTTAACCCAGGCAGCTTTAATTCTGGATCCCTAGCCCCTTAGCCACTATCTTCACTGCATAGGGTTTAGTCAAATTTAGACCTTTGGAATATGACTTACTCTCGAAGTTAGTTCTGTAATTTATCTTGCTCTTTTGTCCAACTAAATCTACTTTATTTTCATCTTAATTAGGTTTTTGTATGAATACTCAAGAAGGCATCCTGATTACTCTATGTTTTTGCTGTTGAGAATTGCCAAGGCATATGAAGCCACACTGGAGAAGTGCTGTGCCGCTGATGATCCCCATGCATGCTATGCCAAAGTGGTAGGTTTTTTGCAGGAAAAAAAAATCTGGCTTCTGGAATGAGATTCCAATAATGACAAAGAAAAATAATTGCAAGAATGTGAAGTGATGTGTAACACAATTTAGTCCTTTTCTTGAGGTGGTTTTCAATTCTGTGCTCGTAAACATTACAGAAAAATGGCCTTAAATAAAATGGTTAATAAAACCTAGAATAGTTATCCTAGAAAAGAAAGCTCTAAAGAAAGCAATCTCTAAAAACACAAAATCTTGACCATAGTTTTTGTTTTTCACACTCCCAAGAACAGAAAAAGACAAAGTGAACTTAAATGTTAATTAAAAGAGCTTTATCTCAGATATAAAGAAAATATCTCTGGTTCCAAAATTTATCAAATACTAGAATTAGTTTCTTAAGGAAAGTTGGAGAATCTATTCCTTTAGAAAATTTTCAAACCTTTTTGAGAAGGTTTAGGTGTAGTTTTTCAAGAAATTATGTAAGGAGAGCAAACCAGTTCTGGAGGATTTTTAAGTCCCCTACACGCATATGCAGTGCTTTCCAAACTATTCGGAATCAGAGAAAAGTCATTCTTTCCTCTGCCAAGAACTGCTGTATACCAGGTACCATGCTGACACTAATGACTAAGGCCAAATTTCTCCTCTCAGAGAGTGTGGGATCCAACTTACCTGTCATCACCCCCATTTTGTAGTGAGGATTCTGAAACTTAAGAGATGGTAAGTAAAGTTACACAACTAGAAAATGAGTCAGGTGGTCTGGCTCAAATACCAATACTCAATGTTGAACTCCAAAAACAACAACAACAAAAAACCCGAACAACCAAACCGATTGCCATCGAGTTAATTCCGACTCATAGCAACTCTATCGGACAGAGTAGAACTGCCCCATAGGGTTTCCAAAGAGCAGCTGGTGGATTTGAACTGCAGACCTTTTGTTTAGCAGCCAAGCTTGTAACCACTGTGCCACAAGGGCTCCAGGTGAAATCCAGAGCCAGAATATTCTTAAGCACTTTCACTATACATTCTCAGCAATTAAAATAAAAGGTTCACATATAATGTGATAGATTTGGCATCAAAGGTCTATTAAAGGTGGCATTGGGCAGAAAGGAGGGAGGATCTCATTCTGCCTGGAGTGATGAAAAATGACCTGCATCTGGTCCTCAGGTGGAATAAACTCAATTTTTTAAAATTTTTTATCTTTCAGCTTGATGAATTTAAACCCCTTATTGAAGAGCCTCAGAATTTAGTCAAACAAAATTGTGAAGATTTTGAGCACCTTGGAGAATATGGCTTCACGAATAAGTAAGTAATTTTGTGTTCTGGTTTATTTTTTTCTTGATCAATTTATAATTTTTTAACACTTAGTATATGGAACACTAAGGAGCCCCGGTGGCACAGTGGTTAAGTGCTTGGCTGCTAACCAAAAGGTCAACAGTTTGAACCCACCAGGTGCTGCACAGGAGAAAGATGTGTCAGTCAGCTTCTGGAAAGATTTGTAGTCTTAGAAACCCTATGGGACAGCTCTGCTCTGTTCTGTAGGGTTGCTATGAGTTAGAATCGACTCAACAGCATTTCTGTCTTTTTTGAATATGGAACACTAGGTTCCTAAGTGACGCAAATGGTTTACACTTGTCTACCAACCTGAAGGTTAGTAGTTCGAATCCACCTAGCAGTTCCATGGAAAAAGGTCTTGTAATCTGCTTTCATAAAGATTCAGCCAAGAAAACCCTATGGAGTAGTTCTACTCTGCAACACATGGGGTCGCCATGAGTCAGAATTAACTTGACAGCAATGAGTTTGGTATATTTTTTTATATGGAGCACTTATCATAGAAATCTTAATCATTAAATATACTATATATTCATAATCACTCCCCACCACGTAATATATACAAGGACTGGAGAAGAAGAGATAAAGTAGTTGATGGGATAGAGAAGTCTGTATTGGAATGAAGGTTAAGGCATAGTTTACAAACAAATAAAAGACCTTACAGGGAAGAGAGTGGTAGGATTTGAATAAGAGCAGCTTGAGAAGTAACATACGGGTTGAAGACAAAATATAACAAAATGAATTTACATATGTATGTGAATATCAGATTCATAATGGGCTATTTGGGAGAAAGATCAGATGTTTGGGAAGTACACCTAACTTTGATGGTGACAATTTTGTTTTCCTCTGGAATTTCCCTTTGTAGCAGTGTCAGAGACAGAATGGCCCAAAGGACTAATGTTTCAGTCTAATAAAGTCTTTTTTATGGAGGTAAGGGCAAGAAGGGACAGATCGTTCAGTAGATAGTTATTATGCAGTATATGCACGTTAGCACTCTTTTGGCTGTTAGTGTTCAGCAGTGAAAAGACACAGTCTCTTCCTTCAGGAAGATTACCGTCCTACATTGACTTTCCATGGTGATGGAGATTCTTCATAAACAGCTACTACTTGCTGAATACTATGCCAAGTTAATGGCATACTTTCTTTCTTTTAATTGAATCCCTGTTGAGTCAGGCATATTTTCCACCATTTTATAGATGAGAAAATTCATCCATATGTTTCAAGTCTAGCAGAGTGTTAATATATATTAGGCTTTCAGTCGGTATTTATGAAAAGAAAGAAGCAATTAATAAAAATATTAATACCACTGAATTATGATAAGAAGAATTTTTTTTAAGATTATGTGGCATAGGTGGAATTCAAAGCTAAGTCTACCTAGTTTCTCAGGACAAAGTTTTCCTACTATGCTACTCAGCCATCCTGGAGATGGGGATAATTTTATAAATGGAAAATAAGATATTCTTAGTTGATTTTGGCAAAGTATTGTTTGCTTGATGTGCTATGTTAGAAAAAGACTATTTTTCGCCCCACTGAAAACACATGAACTATTTTGTTACAGGCTCTTAGTTCGTTACACCAGGAAAGTACCCCAAGTGTCAACTCCAACTCTCGTGGAGGTCTCAAGAAAACTAGGAAGGGTGGGCACCAAATGCTGTAAGCTTGCTGAATCTGAGAGGATGCCATGTGCTGACGACTTCGTGAGTCTTTTAAAGTACAATCAAGCTAATAGTGATGAGCCTTTAGATACTGACAAAGCTAACTTCATAGGACGGGTTAACTAAGGTGTGTGTGTGTGTGTGTGTGTGTGTGTGTGTGTGTATGTGTTAGTGGTAGTAGTGACAGCAGCCAGGAGTTACTTGTAGCCTATATTATCCTGACCAACCAAAACGATGATTCGATAAGATCCCAAAGATGATAAATTGTTCTGAAAACAATTCCATGAATTTATTTTCAATGTTTAACAATAGCATCCTGGCATTTTTCTAAATTTTCACTTTCTTTGGGGTCTTTTCTTTAAGATATCAGTATAAGAGACTTCAAAACTTGTCTCAGGACTCACCTCAAACTATTTTCATCATCAATTATTTTTTTAAGTGTATTACTCTTAAAATGCAGATGTAATTAAAAGAGAAAACATATTCAAAATTCTCTTATTATGTATAGTCCTGAAGATAAGCAAACCACTGCCTCAAATCAACCCTGAGTTCAATGGTGTTAAAATATGACACTTCTTTTGGTCCATTGGAAAGTAGGTGTTCATGAAAAACTTTCAGCCATGCTTCTTTTGAATTCCTGCTCTCCTGCTTATCCTTTAGCTGTCTGTGATCCTGAACCGGCTGTGTGTGCTGCACGAGAAGACACCAGTGAGTGAGAGGATCACCAAGTGCTGCACGGAGTCCTTGGTGAACAGGCGGCCATGTTTCACCGCTCTGCATGCTGATGAAACATATGTTCCTAAAGAATTTAACGATGAAACGTTTACTTTCCACGCCGATTTGTGCACACTTCCTGAGGATCAGAAACAAATCAAGAAACAAACGTGAGGAGTATTTCATTACTGCATGCTTTTGTAGTCATGGTGGTGAGAACCATCAACTGAACTGAGTAACTTCTTCTGAATTAGTGATGATATTCTATAGAGAAAAGTATTAAATATTAGCCCTAGGAAGTAGTAAAAATATCAAGAATAAAATGGAAAACTTTTTTTTTTCTTAGCAGAAAATTGTATTATAATCTTGCCTACAAATTATACAGAATAATCTTGTGGCTAAAGAGCCACAGTAGAATAATATCTTAGCCAGTTCCGTTAGAAAAAGCTGAACAATTAACTGATGCATTCGTGCAGGTAGAAAATTAGTTAATAGAAATCATTAGAGAATTTATTTTTGGACATGAATGGGGATTTTAAGTTTGTTCTATGGGGAATCCACAGGCCAGGCAAACCCTCAGGCTATGACTTTTGGAAATAGAACTTGGATGAAGGACATTTAGAAATGAGAGTTCTAGACTAGGCTCAATAGTGTTGTCACAAGGGGTTAGAATTGCATGAAATTTAGCAACAGATATTTGCTGTCATCTGTGGTAGGCTCTGATCATGGCCACAGTCTTAAGAGTATCGTTGCAAAACCTGTCATACCCACACAAGTTTCCGGCATTGTTGTCTCTGTAGAGGGCAACGGCATAGAACCACCAGCTCCCAAAAGTTGTTTTGTTTTGTTTTTTTTAATAATTTATATATATTTTTTGTTGTGGTTGTTGAGAATATACACAGCAAAACATACACCAATTCAACAGTTTCTACATGTACAATTCAGTGACATTGATTACATTACATTCTTCTAGTTGTATGACCATTCTCACCACTTTTTCTAAGTTGTTCCACCTCCATTAACATAAACTCACTGCCCCCAAGGTTCCTATATAATCTTTCAAGTTGCTGTTGTCAATTTGATCCCAAATAGATTAGAAGAGCATAATGCTCAACGCAGACATTCTTTACTAGTTAAAGCTAAACTACTGTTTGGTTGTAAGAAGACTTCAGAGGATATTTTTGTTTTAAGGTTTAAAGATTATCTCAGGGCAATAGTTTTGGGGATTCACAAGTTCTGATAGACTTATTTCGTGTAGTCTCCTCACCATTACACTTCTAATGGGTCAAATTTCAAATACCAAATATAAAGATTCTCAACTGGAAAACTTTTAAAATGAAGTACAAGACAATTAAAAGATCATTATAAAAAGATCTTATAGAAGATCATTTTTAGCTCTTATATAAACTGTGCAATTCAATAGGATATAATTTCCAGAATCTGCATTAATGTATAATCCTTTCCAGAGCTTTACTGGAAAGCAGTGGGCCTTTTGTCTTGTTATGTATTTGACACTGCCCAAGATGTTGAGCAATTTACATTAATCATTTCCTTTGATCCTCTCATCAATCCTATGAAGACAGATTTTATTATCCTTGTTAGGCAGATGAGAATATTGAAGCTTAGAATGGTACATCTGGGCCTCAAACCCAGAGTCACCTGGCTCTAAGGCTTAAAATCTTAAACCATAGCACTACGTTCCTTACCACCTCAATTTTTCTTTATATGAGCAATCTATTTTCTGTTCTTTTGTTCAAATACAGTGTGCTGGTTGAGCTGTTGAAACACAAGCCCAAGGCAACAGATGATAAACTGAAAACAGTGATAGGAGAGTTCACAGCTATGGTGGAGAAGTGCTGTAAGGCTGACAGCCCTGAGGCCTGCTTTACCTTGGAGGTAATGGAGTTGTTGTCATTCTAATACATCTAACTTCCATGGTTGCAGCATTTGATCAGGTTAGGGCTTAGCCGTTTATATACCTAAAGGATACTTTATACATACAGGGTTAGAATTTTTTTCTACCTACGATTACCTTACAAAATGACTTAAGTAGTTTTTGATTTTTATATGCTGCTGCCCTGTGGCATATTATTAAACATTTGTAAAATCTGTTCTATTTCTAAAACCGTCATGTTCATGCATATTGATAGCAATATTCGTAAGTCTGAAGATGTGAAATCTTTTGTTAGAAACAGCATTAAACAAAAACTTTATTTAACCGATTTCTTGGAAAAGCTACTTTGTGGTTTGGTTAAATCTGAGAGCTTGATATTAGCGGTTGCTAAACTAATGAAGTTTATATTTAAATGTCTGAATTTAATTTTCCCCTATGACTTGACAGAATTTTTTTATTCCTTTGGGGCAATGGGTATCAATGTGCTTCCTTCTAGGGATTCTAGTACTAAACTGGAGTTAAAGGATGTGATGCATGTGAAAGCATTTTTTCATCACCAATGGCTATGTAAATGTTCATTTTTATCCTAATAGTAATGCTAATATTTTCCTCACATCTGTTATTTCTTTGTATTCAGGGTCCAAAACTTGTTGCTACAAGTAAAGCTGCCTTAGCTTAAAAACGACACAATCAGAAGTATCTCAGGTAACTATATTTCAGATGTTTTTTAAATAAGTAATTATAATAGTTATTATTGAAATAGCAAAAATTGAGTGACCATTTGCCAAGAGCCATATAGACCAGCACCAATCACTGTTGTAAACTCTTCATATATATAAACTTACTTAATTCTCAAGAGTTACATGATTGGGTAGTATTATTCCCATGTAAGTGAGGAAATTAAGGCACATATATGTTAAGTAACTTACCCAAGGGTCTCCCAGGTAGTGAGGGGTGGAGCCAAAATTCAAACTGAACTAGTTTGACTGTAGAGCATGAGAGTTCACCACTGTGCTATTCTGACTTATATGACATATTACACTGAGCAGTCCAAGTAAATGATAGTTCAATCTTGGAATGCTTTAGGTATTAGTCTAGACCGTATGAAAGTGCATTTTTGTAGTCAAATATCGATGATTTCACATGGCTCAACCTTATAGCTCAATAACAAACTCATTTTATTGGCGAATATAATGGGTCTATCTTATATGGGCTTCCACACTAACAGTGAATAATCGGCTACTAAATTTCTAATGTATCAACATACTGAACTTTAAAACGTAGATGTTTGAACATAAACATGTTTTACTCATTTTGGTTGTAATATTTTTGGGGAAATTAAAGAATAGAACTAGCTTCCTTTTTTAAAAGAAGTTGTCAAACTATTTTTTAGCATGATTTATTTTCATATTTTCCAAACTGACTGTGATGCCTGCTCCACTAGTAGGTATAGCTTACTGTTTGCCCATGTGATAACACACACGTTATGCATTCAGGACTGGAGACAACTTTGTATCTCTGCAAATTTGGTCATTTCAAAATCTGATTCGTTTTAGCTGTGCCGTTGAGTTGATGCCGACTCATAGCGATCCTATGGGAGAGTAGAACTGCCCTATAGGGAGTTTACGGGAGCAGTTTGCCAGGTCTTTTCTCCCACAGAGTCACTGCATGGGTTCAAACTGCCAACCTTTTGGTTAGCAGCCGAGCGCTTAACCATTGCACCACCAGGGCTCCTATTTTAGCCCTAAATAGCAAGATTTTCTTCCTAGAACTCCAACTTTGAAAAGGCACCTTCTTGGTTGTAATTAATTTAGGTAACAAGTAGATGTAAATTAAATGCTTCTGAGGTGTGATGGGGAAAAATCTGTGACTTTGAAGCCTGAGGAATCTCATGACTTCAGTGATGTAGGAGGGACTTCATAATATGTATATGTGTGGCCTCTCCCCTAGCCTAAGATGAAGAGTAGTCAGCCACCGTACATCTGGGATAGGCTTGAATTATTTTCACTGGTGAATTATTCTCATTCGTGGGAATTGCAGAAAGACAACTTAAGCAATTGTGGCACTTCTTTTAATAGATTTGAAGAAGACATGCCATTTTACTAACAGCAGTTATGTTTGTCCTTTTGTATTTCAGCCTACCCTGAGTACAAGAGCAAGAGAAGTGAGGATCTAGAATTTACTCATCTGTTTTTCTTTTCTGTTGGTGTAAAACCAACACTCTAAGAAACACTAATTTCTTTGAACATTTTGCCTCTTCTCTCTGTGCTGCAATTAATAAAAATGAAAACAACCTGACACCGTGGTCCAGAACTGTTATTTGCCAAAGGGGTGTTGCTGTCATGCTGAACATCTTGTAGGTTCTGTGAAAGTCCCAGTATTCTCATGCTTCACTTCAACAGAGGATCTCTAGTTCCCCATAAAGAAATGTTTATTCTCTTCTGAGGTAGAGACTATAAACATTCATAGTAGTGTTTTAACTTTATGATAATTCTGAATAAAAGAATAAAAACTGGTATTAAAAAAAAAACAATCCCATTGCCGTCAAGTAGATTCCGACTCCTGGCAAACCCATAGGACAGAGTAGAACTGCCGCCATAGAGTTTCCAAGTAGCATTTGGTGAATTCGAACTGCCAACCTTTATGGTTAGCAGCTGAGCTCTTAACCAGTATGCCACCAGGATTTCCAACAGGCAAGGTATATAAAACACGGCTTTTCCTTACTTTCTTACTACTGAAGATTCCGTAGGAAACAGTGAGGGACAAACAGAGATGACTGTAGGTTAGTTACTTACATTGGAAAAAAAAAAGAAAAGTTATCCCAAAAGAAACTTAAGATAATTTGGGATGACAATTCATGAAGAGCGTCAGAAGCTTGGAAAAGCATTATTGGAAGAAGGGATCAGGAGATGTGGAAAAAGGTAGAGTAAGGAGTGATTAAGGTGTATTGAACTGATGAAGTATAAGAGCAGGAGGATGACATTTCATTGTAAAAAATTAAGAGATTACATCCAACACGGGGCCTCCTTTCTCTATTCCAAAAGGTAACCACTATTATCAATTTGGTGCTTATACCACCAGATCTTTGTATATGAGTTTACATATTTATGAATCATTTATAGCTTCATTGGTTTGTGTATTTTCACAGAATTTGTTTTCATACTGTACATGCTGTTCCGCAACTTGCTTAGCTAATCCTTAATGCTTTATAGTTTCATTTTAAGTATGATGTTTGCAAAACATTCTGGTACCAAGTTTGAAAAGTTCCACACCCTCCACCCCCAACCCCACTTCTGACCTGGCACTGAATGTATCAAATATTTTTCCATATGGGTGGCGATGATAATAAGTTTGGATAGAGCCCCGAAGGGGAAAAATAGTGATTGTGGGCCCTGGCTGGTCCAAGATACAGGAGGCCAACTTAGACAATTTTGAGTAAAGTCCTTCTGCTGACCTGGACCCACACGGGACCAGGTCTGGACACCCCATCTGGATGGCCCTGCCGTTCCAGCCAGTCCCAGGTACCAGAGGGATCGTCAAATTGTTCAAAAAGACATTCTAAAATTTGGAGCTCCCTGAAGCCCTGCTTCACCCTTATCCCCCTCCCTTCCTAGAGGATCAAACAGATTCCCAGGTGCTCAGAGACTTTCACCTAGGAGTCGTTCAGGAGCCCAAGACCTACTCTTGGTCCCATGAAGGAGGCCTGGCAAGCACATTACTCTGTTTGTCTGCCTGTCTGTCTATCTTGTCAGTCTGAGTATTTCTTTTATAGAATGGTGAGAAAACTTGGGCCACCAGAATGGTTCTGATGCACTGATTTTTGTGTGTGTGTGTGTGTCAAGTGCTCTTCTTATCCCATCCTATCAGGGAGTACATGATACCAACATGACTTATCACGGGTGTGTTAGCCGTAATCACTTGGTTAAGGTAGTTTTGCCATGTTTCTCCAATGTAAAGTTATTATTTTTCCCTTTTCAAATTCTTTTTTTTTTTTGGAAGAGAGTCACTAAATCCAGCCCACACTCAAGATGGTGGTGATGATTAAGCTACTGGAAGGAGAATATCTACATATATTACTTAGAATTGTCCTTTTCTCTTCACTCCATTTATTTATTCGATCATTTATTTATATTAGCATGAACTCAAGTAGATCTGTTTTATACTTTGGATTGTAATTCAATGCTACATTACTTATTTCATTGCTCAAGTTATTCCAGCTTTTGCCATTGAGAGTGCTTTCCGATTGGCTCCTGGGTTCCTTTGACACACCTTCATCCTTTTGCTTTTTGAGCACTTCTTTCTTGCACTAAAAGGCGCTCCAGGAATATTTAGTGTTTTCCCTTCCCCAGTCCTAAAAACAGTCCTTTCTTCAAGGAACCTTATTCCTTTTATTGGAGACTGGTACTTAGAAACTAAGATTTGAGAGCTGGATGTATTCTTTGCTACTGGGGTATCACTGCCTCTAGACCCTCTCAGGGAACAGAGCTGGGAAATATAAGTGTGCATACTAAGCCATGTACACACACATATCTCTGTAATTATTTCTGCATGTATGTATGTGTCTGTCTATCCATCCACCCATTCTAATTGAGTAAATACGATTTCATAACAATGTCTCTGACTCTAATCCAGTACCATAGTGTTCATTCTAGCTTTGGCCCCTGGCTTATGTTTAACTTCCCTCTTTGAAAGTGAAAAACTTGACTCCCACTATCTACCATCCATCTACTTATTTGTTCAATGCCAGTATACATGCAAAGAAGTTTCAGAATTGTTGACTCATACCAAAAGTGTTTATGTTCAGTTCATTTTGTTTTCAGCCTCACAGTCTCCAGTCAAAACATTATTTTATAAAATTACTTAGGTCTGCTTCATTTTCCCCCTACCCTCCTCAGTGAAGTTATGACATGGTGACTCACTCATCTTGGACACAAGATGAGTTTAGGGCTCTGTGGAGCCCATGCAGCAGCTCTTTCCAGCTGTGTTCCAAGGACAGAGCAGCCTCTGTCTACAGTACACAAAAGTGGCAGGGGTGGGGGCAGGTGCCATTTACCCTGTGCATCTTCTTCCACTGGCACTCACAGTGGTCACTTCAACCTTTTCACAAACTCCATATCACATGCAGCGCTGTCTTCAGAGGTAGACCCTCCAAGGCTTTGAAGACAATTGCGCTGCAATGCTTGAGGACCCTTCCAGTTGCTGTCCTCTATTGCCTCTATCAGTGTGGTTATATTGTATTCCCCTGGGTTGGACTTAAGCCCTGCCAAATATCCCTTGCAGGAATGCTATCACTCTTTACCCATATTCTTCTTCCTTTGCCTATCCTCCTGTTGGTGGCTGTGTGTGGAAGGCAGTGGTGTGGTTTATATTGAAAGGGATCATATTCTAGAAATGCAGTAATTATGACCTAAGAGTTCAGAGAAAACATTGTTGGAAGAAATGTTGTTCTAGTTTATGCTAAGAAAGCCTGAATGGTAAATGTAACACCACCAGAAACTTGCATTTGTGGCTATCCTCAATGAAGCACAGTAATAACATGAAAGAGACTCATTGGAAGCCAGAATTCATAATGACATGATGGATGGTGCAGCATCATGAATAATGATGTAACCAGCATTAAGTAAACCGTAATAGAGAACTGTAGAGGCAAGAAGATCTATTTGTTTCAATACAAACAGACTCCCAAGAGCCATTGCATCATAAACAATAACAGCACTGCTACCTTTTCCTTGAGGTGGGAGATACAAAATTAGCAAGGAATGAGATACATCTGATAATAGAGAATACAAAGAGATGGTAACTACACCTGAACAGGAAGAGATGGTGCCTGGACATTAGGAAGAATCTTCATGTGCACTGATTGGATAATAAACAAGTATATAAGTATCACTTCTCTATTCATTGTTCTAAATCTTAATCATTAAATCAGTCTACATCATGCTAGTGTTGCATAAATCATTCAAGTAGAAGTGCATGTCAATGGTACCTCCTGGAGTTGAGAAACATCCACTAAGCTATTTGTGTTAACTATTATTAACATTTTAATCTTTGGCTTATGAATGGGAGGCTGAGAGGTGCCAAGACTGCTGTTTTATAATAGATGTATTAGATATCTGGAAACTACAAATCTAATCACATCATTCCTACCCTTCCTGTCTCACCTAACAGCTCTATTTACTTCTCTTAGTCACTTTATAAAGTCCAAGCCTCACTATTTTTCAATCCCTTATCTCACCCTCCCTTCAGTGCCCTAATTGGGTTGAACTTCCTACTATACATTAACACACCATGCATTTTCTTGCCTCTCTGCTTCCTCCTTCTACCGGGATGTGCTTCTTCCTGGGATGTCCTGCTCACTCTTCTTTGTTTAATTAACTCAGCTCAAAGTTCATCTTCTTTGAGGAATCTTTCCTGGACAGAATTAGTCACTTCCTTCTCTGATGCCCCTTACTTCTTTTATCTTGACTTATTCACAGCATTCACATTTTATTATAATTATGGTATATTTTATAACCACTCTAAATATGCACAACCTGAGTCTTAGAGCCAGAATTTGAACACACATGGTTCTGACTCCCAAGACCAGGCCTATTTAATGATATTAGTTCATTTATGTCTCTCTCTCTTCAAGTAGATAGTGCTTCTCATGGAAGGGACCATGAATCAGAAGTCTCTTTGTCTTCCCTGGCACTTGGCATAACCTGGAACACAGTCAGTACTTAATAAAAATTAAATCAATAAATTGATTAATGTTATAGGCTATAAATATTCTAAGATATAAACCACAGAATCCCAACTTTCCATAATTTTCCATAATTTCCATAATTACAAAATAGTAAATAAAGTAAATAAACTTTTATGCGAATTTTAATCATATAAGTTTGTGGTTAGGATAATAGTGATTGATGTTATTTTAAAAATGAGAAATAATGAAAATTCCCCCAAATTAAAATTCATCAAGAGCTGCATAGTTTCAAAGCTAGAAGACTCAGTAATCAGATGGTGGTGTCACTTTAGCATTAGTCTAGAGTCATCCAAATTATCTCTCTTGTGTGAATTACTGATGAATAAATAGATGAATAATTGTACAGAACCAGAGAAAGCATTTTCGCATTTTGAGATCTGTCTTCTAGGAAGGGTAGACTTCACTTCTGACTAATGAAAGAGTTTATGTTAAATAAAATGTTACATATGGTGGTTGATGTACAGGTGGAGTTAGCTATTTTGTCATTTTAGTTGATTCGCGTAAAACTTATGTAATTTCTTCAGCACTAGACTGTAAGCAGTTACCTGGACAATACCTGAGCTGATATTAATATTGCATGCAAAGGTACAGATTATTTTCCATATTTAAAAATACTATTTTATTGTGTTTTAGGTGAAAGTTTACAGAGAAAATTAGGTTCCCATTTAACAATTTTTATACACATTGTTCCATAACATTGGTTACAATTTTCACAATGTGTCAGCGT